TTCATCAGACCAGAGACTCTTGTTTCTCAGAGTCTGAGAGTTCTTTAGGTGCTTTGTTGCAAATTCCAAGTGTGTTTTCATGCGTCTTCACTGAGGAGAAGATTGAGTTTGGCCACACCGACATAAACACCAGATCGGTGGAGTGTTGCAGTGATGTTTGTCCTTCTGTAGGTTTCTCCCATCTGCATATATGATCATGGAGCTCAACTAGAGTGACCATCAGGTTCTTGGTCACCACTGTAACCAAGACCCTTCTCCGTCAATTGCTCAGTTTGGCCAGGAGGTCAGCTCTAGGAAGAGTCCTGGTTGTTTCAAACTTCTTCCATTAAGGGTAACAGAGACTACATGCTTCTGTCAACCTTCAATGCAGCAGAATTTTTTTCTGAACTCTTCCACAGATGTGTGGCTTGATGCAAACCTGTTTCTGAGATCTACAGGCAGTTCTTTTGACCTCAGTGCTTGGTTTTTGCTCTGATATGCAGTATCAGCTGTTAGACCTTTTATTAAGACGTGTGTGCCTTTCCAAATCATACCCATCCAAATGAATTTGCCACAGGTTAACTTCACTCGAAGTGTAGTAACATCTACAAGCAATACGAATGCTCCTGAGCTAAATTTCAACTGTCCCAGATAACTTATGCAATGGAATCATTTACGTTTTTTATTTTTAATATATTTGCAAAGATGTTAAAAACCTGTGTTTTTGCTTTACCATTATGGTGTATTGAGTGTAGTTTGATGTGGGGAAAAAGTAACTTAAAGCAGTTTAGCATAAGGCAGCAACTTAACAAAATGTGAAAAAAATGAAGGGGTATGAATATTTTCGCAAGGCATTGCATATATCTGATAGAAGTGACCGAAATAGGTTCTGAAAAATCCCCCCCCCCCAAAAAAAAAGTACAAATAGAATGTTCAATATTACAGTATTAATTCAATATCACATTTATTGTCATTGATACATGTCACAGCCAAGATACCATAGTTGATACAGTTAGTACAATATAACTTGTAACTTGGCAATAGCCACCACTGACATCAGAAAACTAAACAAAATGACAAATATTTTAATAGCTTTTTACACTGGTTAAAAGAAATCTAAATGTTTTCAATATTATATTATAGATATTATGTTATCCATATTATAGATGTGTTTTTAATTTATTTGTTTAAAAGTGTTGTTAGTCTAGTTTTGTATATACCATG